AGTTAGTTACAAATTACACGTAATCAAACAGACGGTGAACCCTATTAACTGCAATGATTATATGTTGCGATTAAACTTTGCGATTAAACATTGTGATTAAGCTAAATTTGTTAGTTTTATATGTTGTTCCAGGGTTAGCATCATCTGAGGTCTTCTGGGGGGTTGGCATCATCTCTGGCATTGTAAGGGTTGGATCCAGACTAAAGCTTCTGTAATTCCTAGGTACCTTGGGATGCAAATCCCGTGGCAGAAACAGAGAAGCAAATAGAGACAAAATTAGCGTAGCTGCTGTTCCAACAAAGCAAATGCACAATCAGCTTGTAACACTCCAACGAGAAAGGAAAACTTGAAATCGCATCATATGACCCCTTTAAGTGTAAAGGAGCAAATGTATCTAAAATGCTAGAAAAGAGAGAGTACATAGTTTCTGTTACATCATCAAGTTGTTCTGAGCTATTGGATATGCTGAGGAATTGAGATAAGTCAGGAAGTTTATTTACAAAGCAGTCTTTTCTGGTAGAAGTGACGGTTCTACCATATTTGTAACAAGGAGTTGAATTTGTTGAATGGTGTAGACCAGGGCTGTCCAAACTCGGTCCTGGAAGGCTGGTGTCCTGCAGAGTTTAGCTCCAACCCTAATTAAACACACCTGAACCAGCTAATCAAGGTCTTACACCAGGCATTCTAGAAACTTCCAGGCAGGTGTGTTGAGGCAAGTTGGAGCTAAACCCAGGGCCGAGTTTGGAGACCCCTGCCTAAGGGGCTCTGTATTACTCGACAGAACACTTGGGATTTACAAAATCCTAAATGTGTCCAACCTCTTGTGAAAAGGTCTGCATATTCCCAAGTAACCAATTCAAGTTTATTTGTATAGTGCTTTTCACGTTGCAAAGCAGCTTTGCAGAAAATGTTAAGTTTCTACCTGAATTATATTTAGGAGTAGGTTATTAGTGGTGACTATGGCAGAAATGTACAGTAAGAATCATGCAGTTAGTTACAAATTACACGTAATCAAACAGACGGTGAACCCTATTAACTGCAATGATTATATGTTGCGATTAAACTTTGCGATTAAACATTGTGATTAAGCTAAATTTGTTAGTTTTATATGTTGTTCCAGGGTTAGCATCATCTGAGGTCTTCTGGGGGGTTGGCATCATCTCTGGCATTGTAAGGGTTGGATCCAGACTAAAGCTTCTGTAATTCCTAGGTACCTTGGGATGCAAATCCCGTGGCAGAAACAGAGAAGCAAATAGAGACGAAATTAGCGTAGCTGCTGTTCCAACAAAGCAAAGACGATGTGTTCAACCCAAGCAAAAGAATGAAAATGTGCATTTGCTCAGATATAGCTGAAGTACAAGGTTATGAGATACATTATGTGAATGCTTGGCTAGATGTCTTTAATCTAGATTTAAACAGAGCGAGTGTGTCTGAACCCCGAACGTTATCAGGAAGGCTATTCCAGAGTTTGGGAGCCAAATGCGAAAAAGCTCTACCTCCTTTAGTGGACTTTGCTATCTTAGGTACTACCAAGAGTCCAGAGTTTTGCGACCTTAGGGAGCGTGATGGATTGTAGGGTGATAGAAGACTAGCTATGTACGCAGGAGCTAGACCTTTAAGGGCCTTGTAGGTAAGTAGTAATATTTTGTAAATGATGTGGAACTAAACAGGTCTAAACCAATCTGTTCTGTCACATCTCACGTCTCTTTAGTGACTGCAGAAAAGATCCTACTGCCACAAGAACCCATGACGAGGGAGGACTTTATACAGTGTAAGTCATTCTACTTTACTTTAAACGGACGCCAAACTTCACTATGAAGCCAAAGGTACAATAGGAAAATCCCAATCCCTAAAGATGCTTAGCCTTCGTACTGGTTTGTTAGCTAAAGATACTTCATTCACATTAAGTCCTGTTTTACATACCAAGACAACTTACCAAGTTGTGAAGACCCAAGTAAGTGTGCATACACTGGTCTTGGGGTAAAGCTGGACTTTACTTGGGTTTTGCATTTTCACCTTGTTTCTCATTTCATCAGTTCTGGTTCCCTTGAGTCTGGACCCAAACACGGCCCACAGGAACCTTCGGTTAACAGAACAGAACCAGGCTGTGGCTTGCAGTATTGAGCCCCAATCATATCCAGAACATCCGGACCGCTTTGAGTGGTGGGCCCAGGTGCTGAGCAAGGAAGGTCTGACAGGTCGCTGCTACTGGGAGGTGGTCTGGAGCGGACAGTACGGCGTCGACCTCGCAGTGTCCTACAAAGACATCAACAGAACTGGGCAAGGAGACGACAGTGGGTTTGGGTACAACAGGCACTCCTGGAGTCTGGACTGTTCCATGTTCAGATACGCACTAGTGCACAACAACGAGGAGACGGACATCAGTGTACCCCTGTCCCACCGGATCGGGGTGTATCTGGACCACCGGGCAGGACAGCTGTCCTTCTACAGTGTCTCAGATACCATGATCCTCCTTCACAAAGTCCAGACCAGGTTCACTCAACCTCTTTATCCAGGATTTGGGCTCTTTCAGGGCTCAACTGCAAAATTTTGTGAGCCACAAGGCGGCGGATCACCACAAGTAGTTAACAGAACCAAGAACAACAAAACTTGTATAAAACAAAGACGCATAAGAACAGACGTGATGAGAAACAAATATCTCAGATGTGGAAAGTGAGGTGCCAGCAGTCCTGAATAAATTAAGGTGAAGATTTTCATATCTTGAATCGTCCAGAATAAAAACGTTTTCTTTAAATAAATCATAGGGGGAAATGGCATCATCAGTAGTGCAAAAAAATGAAATCTGATATGAATTTTTTTATTTTTTTTTGGTAGCTTGACGTTTTAGGGAATATTTTTTTAAGGTACTGAAATCGTTATACATTGAAAATAGGAGGTAGCTTTTCATACATGGTTCAAAACTTCAAGTTTTCATTAATGGGAATTTAATTCGTGAAGTTTGGCCAATTTTGTCCATTTTTTCTCATCCCCATGTTGTTCCAAGTCTATATGACTTTTTTTTCCACAGAACACAAAACGAGACGAATCAAAGAGCAGCTCTTTCCTTCACACATGTACATTTTCAAACTTGTTGCGCAGGTTTGAGGTCATCGAGACCAAACACCACAGATTCGCGTGGTGGTCTCGTAAATAAACACAAACCACCAAGTTTGAAATGCAAAACAACTTAAATTTGGGTCTTTTCCTCATACAAAGCATCATATGGCTTGGAATATAACATTATACGGACACTTGTATAGTACTTCTATGCTGTTGTTTCGTCCTTTTTTTGGAGCTTGACAACCCCATGCTCAATAAAGACTTCAACACAGACAAATGTTATCTCAAGGTGCTTTTAATGGTCAGCTAATGAACCCAAAAGAAACAGATCATGCAGCATCTAAAAAAAAAAAAATCAGAAGAATGAGTGAATTAAAGGAACACTCCACTATTTTTGAAAATAGGCACATTTTCCAAGTCCTCTAGAGTTAAACAGTTGAGATTTACCGTTTTCGTCAGCCGATCTCCGGGTCTGGCGGTAGCACTTTTAGCTTAGCTTAGCATAGATCATTGAATCTGATTAGACCGTTAGCATCTCGCTCAAAAATGACCAAAGAGTTCCTATATTATATATTGTAGCAGGCGCAATGATATTACGCAGCGCCTGAAAATAGTCCCCAGCTAGGTAACTTCCAATAAGCCTATTTTCAGGTGCTGCGTAATATCATTGCGCCTGCTGCACCCATGGTACGGCAGCAAAGTTCCTTGATTATTACGCCGGAATGAGAGTATAGTTCCTAGCCATATCGGCCTAGAAAACAGCAACTTTTAATTTTCCGTCGGTCTTAGTACACGATGTAACTACAGAAGAGTCAAGTTTTAAATAGGAAAAATACAGAAACTCTTTGGTCATTTTTGAGTGAGATGCTAACGGTCTAATCAGATTCAATTATCTATGCTAAGCTACAGCTAAAAGTGCTACCGCTAACGGTAAAACTCAACCGTTTAACTCTAGGGGAGTTGGAAAATTAGCCTATTTTCAAAAATAGTGGGGTGTTCCTTTAACGAGTATAATATACCCAGGACTTACTACAGTTCACAAACCACTTTTTTAACCAACCAACGCTTGAAGTATGGGAAAACGCTCCTAGTTTGAAATGGTTGCCAGATATTTAGTCACAGATGATGTTTCGCTCAATGCAGCTGAAGAGAATATCTGCAACTAAAATCCGGCGGTCATCCAGTCATTCCCACATCAGGTTATAAACACAATAATACAGCTTCTGGTTGTTTTCCAAAACACCTGCATCATTTGACAAACTACAACTCAATGAGCTTGTGAACTCAGGCCTATTAACTCATCTAGAGTATTTTCCTATTCACAAACTTTTAAGTCCAGAGTAGGGGAACCAAAGCAGGTGATTTTAACATCAAACCTAAAGTACCGGTTCAGTAAAGTCAGATTTGAGCTTGAGACGTTCTAAATGCGCCTGGGTGAAATACTCAAAGCAAAACAAAAAAAAAACCCTACACAATGTTGAAATAACATCTTAAAGCACTCAAAATTCATCCCAAGTGATCGGAAAGGAGACTGTGGACAATTGAATTATTTACAAATATACATCATTCAGTTCCTTTCACAATAATACCTCTCAGAAATTGCAATGAAGGTGATTGGTTTACAAAGCCGAATTTCACTTTATTTGAAGCGTTTTTGGTTTTAGGGAAATCAAATTGCGTCGAAGAGCATCTTGAGCCAATTTCCCGATTAAAGTGCACATGGATGAGAGGTGAGAGAG